CACAATGCCCAGCTATATTTTTGTTGCAGTTTGGCCAGGGCTGGGTTTGAACCTGCCACCCTCGGTATATGGGGCCAGCGCCCTACTCACTGAGCCACAGGCGTCACCCCATGGTCTCTGATCTTAAATGATTTATAAGCTTGATGAGATTGCAACCACACAACAACACGGACAAGTGCAAAGTACTGTAACCCCAGCTGAACAATTTTTTAGTAAAGGCATGCTCATGGTCAGGCAAGGTTACTCAGGAAAGATGTTTACTTAGCTCCTGAGCTAGGTGTTGAAGGAACAGTGTCACTTAAATGGCCGGACCCATAGAGGCCTTGTTTATGCCTCCCCCATAACTTCATTTGGGGTCCTCAGGATGCTGGTGAGAGGTTCGGCCTCTTGCATGCTGGAATCAAATTACTCCATCACAAAATGCCTCGAATAAGGACAAGATGACATATGTTCACACAGCTGTGTTCCCTACTGCGTCCTCAATGTTTAGCACAGTGGTGGCCCTGGGTCAGTGAATGGATGTGGTCTGAAAGGTTCGGCAGCCTTAGTAGGAAACCCATGTGACTTGACCTGGAATATGATGAGTTCTCATCTCTCCAAAGGGAATTAGATGGATCCTGTTTGGAATACTCTGGTGGAGGCCAGGTCTAAATAGATGTTTCTGCTGTCATCTGTCAGATCATCAGTTTCTCCCCTTTCCCACTCCACCCCTATTCTCACAGGGGTGAGAGGTTTGCTCTTCCAACTCAGACTTCAGCTTTTGGAGGCTTAGCCCCATGTAGGAGCTGATGTAGGCTTTTTCTGGGGATTGAGGCCTAAGGTCCCTCCCATCCTTGCTGCCCCCCACACTCCCGCTGCCTGTCTGCAGGGCAGCTCTCCAGCTGGAAGTCTTGCTGATGCCATGTCCCAGAAACACCTTCAGATCAACCAGACATTTGAGGAGCTGCGACTGGTCACGCAGGACACAGAGAATGAGCTGAAGAAGCTGCAGCAGACTCAGGAGTATTTCATCATCCAGTACCAGGAGAGCCTCAGGATCCAGGGTGAGGCGGGGCAGTGGGTGCCCTGTGTGGCCTGGGTAGGAGCAAGGAAAGCAGCTGGAAAGCAGCTCAGGTCAGATTGGAGGAGAACCCGTTTCCCATTCTAAGGCGTGCATTTTTTTCTGGGTAGCCAGGAATCATTTGCATTGAAAATGGCACTGGGAGGGTGAGGCTTAGAAATAAGCTTGGAGACTGTGGGATCTCACCTGGCTTCCCAGCCCCAGGGAGTCCTGAGCTGCTGGGAAAGACTATCTCTGTTAGGGAGGAGCTCACAATAAATAGTACCAGAGTCCCGCACCATGGTGCCCACCTGTAGTTCCAGCTACTTGGAGGCCAAGATGGGAGGATCACTTGAGCCCAGGAGGTCAAGACCAGCCTGGCAACTTACCAAGACTGCATCTCACTAGATGGATACATATATAGATAGAAGCCAGTGTGATACTTTTGTATATAGCAGGTGTTTTATAGATGTAGCTTTATGAATAGAAATCAAGGAATTACATATTTAAAAAACCCTTTCTAAAAAGGAACAGTATAAGGGTCAGGTTTACACTTCAAACTTTAGCTTCTGGGTGGTGCCTGTGGCTCAAGGAGTAGGGTGCCGGCCCCATATGCCAGAGATGGTGGGTTCAAACCCAGCCCTGGCCAAAAACAAACAAACAAACAAACAAACAAACTTTAGCTTTTGGGGGCTTAGCCCAGTGTAGGAGCAGACACAGGCTTTTCCTGGGGATTGAGGCCTCAGGTCCCTCCCTTCCCCACTGTCTGCATGTTTCATGTTCCATGCAGTGGTTCAGAGGCCTTCCAGGACAGAATACACTCATGCTCCTCTGGTAGCCTTTGTAAACAAAAGCTCCCCTAGCCTGGGTAAACCCTGCTTGGTACTTTCATGCACAAAGAGCTGTGGAGTCCCACCAGCGCCCCCTTTTGACCCTGTGGCGATTTGGCAGTTTGAGCTTTAATGTGTAGTAATTTCTTCTCTCCCTTATGTGCCCAAGCTGACAACCTCAGAGGAGCCTTGCTCAACCCGCCAGCCTGTAAAAGCACCCAGGCATGCACATGGCATGTGCTCCTCTGATACCATGAATGTAGGCTCCGTCTTATAAATATAGTGATATTATTTATTTACTCTGTCTTTCCACTAGACTATACGTCACTAAGAAGGGATCTTTTTACTCTGTGCCTTGAAACCAGCACATTGCCTGAAACAGCATATGTTGAGAAAATGCTGGCAGGATGATTCTATTAGGTCTTTCTCTTCTTTGAATCCGTTTTAGACTGAACCCCAGAAAAAACATAGCCACTTCTGAAGGTGGGAATGGGAGATTTCAGGCTGTTATTTCTACCAAATTCTTTGAGTATGGACGTATATCTGAACTTGGCTTTCTGTGCATGGGATTAGGTTTGGATTCTGGCTTGGGTTTGTACCCATCACGCAGGGTCAGTTCAGCCTCGTGTATCAAGCTCACCATCAGGAACACAGACTGGGGATCTGCTTGTGCCAGGGAAGGCTCAGCTCCCTCCAGTGAAGCAAAACAGTTGTCCTGCATCTCCCTGGCCTCGTTCCCAGAAGCTTCTGCAGATTTCCAGGAGACACAAGGAGGGTCCCTTGCACAGGAGGCGGGCCCAGACGTTGGGATCACAGGCACTCTCCCTGTGGGTGGGCAGGGTCCCCCAGGTGGCCGTCCGGACCACTCAGATTCATTCTTCCTGCTCAGACCCTGCAGTGAGATTGGAACCATCTTTCTGAGTTCCACTTTGGGGCTTTCCTGGCTGTCTTGAGTTACTTTTGTCTGTTCCAGCTTGTGCATTCCAAGGGGCAGGGAGGAGGTCAGTGTGACA